TATATGCCACTTTTAAGTCCTGTTTATGTAGAAATGAAGCTAATTTCTCAGTTGATGATCCGAAATAGGTTAAAGTTTTATAATTTTGATTATTATTCTTGATGGTAGGATAAACTTCTTGAATAGCTTTATGATGAAGTTTTTTAGAAAGAATACTGTCTATCATATTAACGTTGTATCCGTTGTTGACTGCAATCTGTTTTATGATATTGAGTTCTTTATTGAAATTTACTTCCGAAAGAGGGACATTCACTAGCCTGTGTATCATACTATTATATGCTGCAATTTTATGTTGATAAGGGTGTGTTGAATTATTATGAATAGTGATATCAGTGTGGGAAGGTTTATGGAAAATTGAAAAATCATGTTTATCGTTAATTTTACTTATTGTCAAATCTAAGAAATTGATTGAATTTTCAGTCTCTATTTCTATTGTGAATTTAATGTTTGGATGAATAGTATTTATATATTAATGGAAAGTGTCTAATTGTCTATTGGTTCCTTTAATGCATACTATAACGTCATCTACGTATCTATACCAAAACAAACATTGTTTTATTAATAAATGTTTATGTATTATTCGCTCCAAGTTGTCCATGAAGATTTCAGCAAGTAAAGGGCTCAGTGTTTAGTTCATTGTACCAGTATATCACCTGACGAAGCTACTGTGATAGCGAAACATGTCGTGTGTTTAAAAATTTGTGGAAATCTTATCGTTTGTGAAGTTTTTACATTTCTAATGAGGGTATTTTTCCTGGTTGTCTTCGATCTGGGTAACGTTGACTGTACAATACACAAGCTCTGCGGGAGTTTTTTCTCGCTTCGCCAAATATGAGCAACATGTCAACATATTCATCTGGTGAAAATAACTGTGGCATTTCAATATTCTTCCACAAATAACGGGGAACAAACTAAACCCGTCTTAATGAGGCTTTAAACAATCAAACTACTTTATTGGATATGATCTTGAGGAACACAATAATTATTTATGCACTAATGTATTTTTATTGACTCAGCGAATGTAATATAACTGACATGACTCCAATTGTCCAAAGCCACCCCGGAGTGCTTGATATTATCGTGCCTAGATATTCGAAAAGAAGATGGTTTCTTGTAGGGACTCTTACGTAGTTAATTACACTAGAATACGTAGTTTGATGATTTTTTTTTGTATTTGCTGATGATGAAATTCACATATGTCTTTCACAACTATTGACCATAAGCAATCAAACCACCAATGGGATATAAAATTATACATATTGTAGTAGTATAGTGCCTACGAGCCCAAAAATGGTCAGATACTTCCCCTTCTGAGTAAAAGCAAATCCTTCTGAACACGCATAGAGTAAGTAAAAATAAAGAGATTCAGGGGCAGACCCACCCCTGAAACCCGCGGAGACACCCCCACCCCCTTCTCGAAGGGGTGGTGCGCACAGTTGCACATGAATATTATTTTCTCAAAAACGGTGAGAGATAGAGATTTGTAATTCACGCCATTCGAAAGAAAATTGAATTTTACATCTGATAGATATTTTTTGATTGATCAAAAATCTCAATGTCAGCTCTCAAAAAAAAATATATGGGAGGAGGGAGTTCTAGGCTGTCATGTTTTTCCTCATAACTATTAAACGGCCCAAAGAATCGAAAAATTTGACGAGAGAAAAAATGAAGCTTGCAGTTTTTTCTATCGAACGATATATATAAAGTTGAAGATATCTATATAAAGAAGGCATCCAGTGGCGTACGAACACATGCGCGTTTGGTAGAATAATGTGTGAAAAATGATAAAAAATACCTACCTACTGTTTGTGCATGCAACGTGAGAAATGAACAGTTGATTTACTCATCACACAGACTAATAATTATGTAGGATACTACTTGGATTCAAGAAGGAATGTGGAAAATCTAACAATAAAGGTACAACAATTTAAACATTTTTATTGTAATAAAAACAATCTAAAAGCATTAAAATTGACTCATCAACTCCGAAAACTACATAAAACAATCTGAGAACATACAAATTAAATCATCATCTCTGAAAATTAAATAAAACAAATTTAAAATCAGGTACTACAGCGCTAATTGCAGCATTCTTTACAGGTACATAATTGTGTACATTTTAATTTCCTCAGGAAACATTTGCATTTATGATCACAAATTTTACATTGGCATTTAATCATTATATCCGTTTCCAATCTTCCGTTCTTGATAGTTGTCCAGAATGGTATCCATTTTTCTTCTTCCAATGTCCATCCCCATTGGGAGGGACACGGTAATTCCAAATTAGCAGTAGCTAAATTGCCCCAAATATGGCCTCCCTGATAAATGCATTTTCTGGCGTGTAATGAAAGTGCATTGAATGTGAATGTTTATCGTAAAAAAATATGACATACTTTTCTAATATATGTAACTGATTTTCATCAGGTTGTTTAGGGCGAAGTGTCAGCTCTATGAATACATCTGTTACGGCAGAAAAAACATACCATGCTTCCCAACATTTTCTTTTTCTTTTTCCGAAGAAGGCTGATGTTACATCGCTCCCAGTGAAAGCGTGAAACATTGGCAGACCCAGGCATTTCTCTTTCAATTTATCAGAAATTTCTACGCAAGAAATGTACTTCATATTCTTTCCCGTACCAAAACTCTATCCAAATATCCTGCTCTTGATGCTGATACTGATAGAAAATTGCAAGAATGATCACATCAGTATCCACAGTTTTTATCAATATTCTTTTCAAATTATTTTCCATACAATTTTGAGTATGAACAAAAATCCGAGTATCAGCTTCCTCATGGTTGCAAACACCAGTTATATTATTGATTCCTAGGGATCCACTATTGTAAAGTGTTTCCTCAATTGTATTACATACTACTACTACTGTATTCTAGGGTAATGGCATGTCTTTGAGGTGGTTGGAAATTAAATCGAACAATTGTTTCTTATTTTCCGAGTCTCTCAAGAAGTCATTCCGATTTCGTGGAATGCTGGTGTTTTCTCTTATCAATTTCCTGTTCCCTTTTCCCCTCTTTTCTCTTGTACTTGCCTTCAAGCTCTTATCAATATAAATATCCCAGATTACATCAGTCCTCTTAGAGGTATCTAAAATTCTTAAAATATAAGGCTTTACAATAAGAGAGATATATTCCTGAAAAGTACAGCAAGCCTTGGGTTGTAGTAAATGTACTAATGCAGCACCATCAATCAATACAGCATCAACATCAGTTGGTTTGCTCTCAACTGTTATGTATTTGTCTAAGCATCGTAATAAATCTGATTCCATGCCATGGTACATTTGACCAAGTTGAGCGAGTGGATATGGATGATTCTCAAATTTGAGAAAATTTTTCAGGTCACCATCTCTATTCTGTGGCACAACGTAAAGTCTACTGAATAAACATCTGATTTTGATTCTTTTACTTCACTTGATTTATTCTGCTTATTTTTTTTTATTTTTGAAGGAAATGTTATTATTTTTAGTGATTGGTTCAGAAATAGATTTTTTCGAGTGTATCAACCTGTCATGGAAAAATTCTCTGTATCAATGGACACCTTTATCTAATAACAGTCTAAAACATTCGTCATTCACGACAATTCTACTATCTAGAGCGAATAATTCAGTTGAAGTTTCCTGGAACGGATTACCATAATTATGTTTTGAAGGTATCTGATCCCAATGAAGATGGACATTGAAAGAAGAAAAATGGATACCACTCTGGACAACTATTGAGAACGAAAGATTGGAAATAGATATAATGATTAAATGCCAATGTAAAATTTGTGATCATAAATGCAAATGTTTCCTGAGGAAATTACACAATTACACAATTATGTACCTGTAAGGAATGCTGCAATTAGCGCTGTAGTACCTGATTTTATATTTGTTTTATTTCATTTTCAGAGTTGATGAGTTAATTTTTATGTTCTCAGATTTTTTTATGTAGTTTTCGGAGTTGATGAGTCAATTTTAATGCTTATTAGAATAAAAATGTTTAAATTGTTGTACCTTTATTGTTAGATTTTCCACATTCCTTCTTGAATCCAAGTAGTATCCTACATAATTATTAGTCTGTGTGATGAGTAAATCAACTTCTTCCTCTCACGTTATATAGTAAAATGTTCATTTCTCACGTTGCATGCACCAACGGTAGGTAGGTAGGTATTTTTTATCATTTTTCACACATTATTCTATCAAACGCGCATGTGTTCGTACGCCACTGGATGCCTTCTCTATATAGATATCTCCAACTTTATATATATCATTTGATAAAAGAAACTACAAGCTTCATTTTTTCCATCATCAAATTTTATGATTCTTTGAACCGTTTAATAGTTATGAGGAAAAACATGACAGCCTAGAACTCCCTCCTCCCATATATTTTTTATTGGGAGCTGACATTGAGATTTTTGATCAATCAGAAAATATCTATCAGATGTAAAATTCAATTTTCTTTCGAATGGCGTAAATTACAAATCTCTATCTCTCACCGTTTTTGAGAAAATAATATTTATATGCAACTGTGCGCACCACCCCTTCGAGAAGGGGGTGGGGGTGTCTCCGCGGGTTTCAGGGGTGGGTCTGCCCCTGAATCTCTTTATTTCTACTTACTCTATGCCTGTTCAAAAGGATTTGCTTTTACTCAAAAGGGGAAGTATGGACCATCGTAGAACCTTAGCTAATCAGGGATCAAAAAACCTTAAAGAAAATCACATGTTGACAGGACAATTTTGAATGGGGAAGCAGATATTGCATGGGTGCTCAAAATGTTTCACTTATGAATCATGAAGGACCATCCATCCATCTTATCCATGGCAAGGTATCATACATTGATCCATGATCCATGGCAAGCTCACCTCACAACATAATATAAATATGCCTCAGCTGATCTGGCTGATAGATTTGTATATGTTGATTCCTTTTCAAAGTGCTTAATGTAACCAGGCTTGAATAATTCAACATGCAATATGCAACCCACTCAAAAAATAGATGCCTTTTTCTAACCTTGAATAATTCTTGATAGCTTTCTTGACCTAAGACATCCGAATCCCAGTTTGCCTTCTTAAACATAGTCATTACACATCAACTCGCACATCAATGTAGGCATTCATTAGGAATACCCTCTCATTGATACCAGGGAATCCAGGGATGACCACTCACACTCGACCATAGGGAGTAGGCAGGATAATTGATGAAATAATGGTAGGATGAGGTGTATTGGTGTATAATATATACACTTCACACTCTTCACAAGCTAAACTCCTACAGTGATAAACTCTATCGTGATGTAAACATATTGTAATTGTAAACCAATGTAAACAATGCTCAATGCTTAACTATGACAATTGACACTATGACAAATAATTGATGATTGACGACAGTGTTTTGTAGGGATGGTGATCTTGAGTCGATTTTTTTTAAGATTCTATTCGTCTGAAAGAATCGATTTTTCAGATCGATCTTCTTCTGTTGTTCGATCTTTAGGTGAATGGATTTTTTTTCACATAAAATCGAATCAAACAAAAATGGACACTGAATAACATATTTGACTAAAATGAGAAAGTTTTTTCACCCAAATACGAGAGCTATCCAATTGAAATGAGGAATTAGAAATGTTCTGTCAAATTAGTTGGTGATTTGTGATCATTAATTGATCATTTTTTCAGGAGTGAAGATGTTTTCTTGTACAGTGTCTTTCAAAAGTATCGGAATGGTCTCATATTTCAGGAACGGCTTGAGAAAAATTCACGAAATTTTCTACAGGGTGATTATTGATGATGTCCGATTCAATGGTGGCATCGGCAATGTTGCCAAGTTAACAGTTTTTCAGATATAAGGAGTAACTTTATTTTTTTAAATGGAATACCCCATTTATTTTTATTGCAATTGATTAAGCGCCTCCTAATTACTTGAGTCCCTGAATATCAGATTCGTAATTAACGTGATTCTCGAAATATGACAACATAGCATTTTCGTTAAAAAGTTCTGGAACGGTCCCATATTTCAGAAACGGCTCAGAGAAAATTTATGAAAACTTCGACAGGATGGTTGTTGATGATGCCCGATTCAATGGTGATATCGGCAATGTTGCCAAATCAACAGTTTCTCAGATATTTAGGGTAACACAATTTTTCCAAACGGAATACCCCATTCGTTTTTATTGCAATACATTCAGCGACGCCTCATTACTTATGTCTCCAAATATCAGACATCCCCTCTTTCAAGCTTCAATTATTTTATTCCTGATATCTTTTTGGTGGTCTTATGTTTCTACTTGTTTTCCGTAGAGCAATTGGTAAATTCTCAGCTTCTTCTGTAGTATCTTTGTTATATCCCTGTTTCGTTGTTTCCTCCTCTTCTGGACTTCTATCTGGTTTCAGCATAATTTCATTTCTCCTTATTACATTTCCTTTTTCATTATTTATCATGAATGATCTTTCGTCATATTTTTTCACAACTTTTCCTCTTTTCCATTCTCCGTCATCTGGTTTATCTTTGTAATACAGCCTGTCTCCTTCTACCCAATCGTTATTTCTTTTTTTTGCTCCTTTGTTATATTGTTTGGCCACTTTTTGTTTATTAATTTCAATACTTTTTTTATATCTTCATTTTCTAGCAATTGATGTTTTAAATCACTTTTTGGTACTTGGCATCTCAACTATCTGTTGAAGAATCTTTTTGCTGGACTACTATTCATTTTATTTGGTGTGTTTCTGTGAGCAATAAGCATTTTATAAAAATCTACATTTTCGGCTATACTTTTCTTTATAAGTGTTTTTGCTATTTTAACTGCAGCCTCTGCTTTTCCATTCCCTTGTTGATGAAAAGGACTTGAGGTTCTTTGATTGAACTCCCATTCTTCACCGAATTCTGTGAAATCTTTGCTTGTGAAATTTGAACCATTGTCTGTGATCACTGTTGAAGGGACCCCATATCTGCTGAATTGTCTTTTACATATCAAAATGGTAGATGTTGCAGACAAATCACCTAATTCTTCTATTTCAAAAAAGTCTGAAAAATGGTCCACCATAATCAAAAACTGTCTCTTCTTACCACTTATGGATATTTCAAAAACATCCATGCTCACAGTTTGAAATGGATATTCTGGAGTCTCAATAGAAATCATTTCATTCTTCTTTTGAGACGACGCGAACCTAGCGCAAGTTTCACATGATTCTATTTTATTCCTTATATCTCTTGATATGCCTGGCCAAAAAACAGTTTCTCGAGCCATTTTCATTGTGTTTTCGATTCCTGAATGCCCCGAATGCAATCTCTCAATTATCTCTCCTCGCAATTTTTTAGGAATTAATATTCTCCAACCTTTCAGAATTATATCCTCATCTATTATCAATTCTTCCCTAAACGTCCAAAAAACTCTCAATTCTCCATCAATTTCCCTTTTATTCTTTGGCCAACCATTCTTTATATATTCTACCATTTGTTTGTCTTGTTTTGTGACTTCTTTAATCCTCTGTATCGTTTCACGTTTCACTGTTACTTCGCCCAGATTTTCGAATGTACGAATCTGATTCAGATATTCTATTGTTGTAATATATCTATCTTCCTCAATTTCATAAATATCTATCGATTTCTCTTCATTGGTGATATTCTCTGGTGCTCTTGAAAGTGCATCTGCAATAAATAACTTCTTGTCCTTTTTTATATTCAAGCTCTATATTATATCTTTGTAGGCTCAAAATCATATTTTATAATCTTTTTGGAGCCTTCAGTAATGGTTTCTTGAATATATTTATTAGTGGAGAATGATCTGTTTCTATCATAACTTTTTTACCACAAATATACTGATCAAATCGATGACAAGCAAAAAGAATAGCTATAGCATCTCTTTTTCGATCTGTGCATAATTTCGTTGTGTTTTGGATAGTGTCTTAGATGCATATGCCACTGGTCGTTCATTTTGAAATAAGGCACATCCCATAGCATATGAAGAAGCATCGGTTTCAATTTTCACATCTGCCTCAATTTTGAAATATTTGAGCGTGATATCATTGGATATCATTTCTTTCAATTTTTCGAACGCTGTTTGTTGTTCTCCATTCCACTCAAATAATACGTTCTTGTGTGTTAATTTTCGTGGAGGCTCAGATATTTCTGATAAATTTTTCAAATATCTGCACATGTATGTAACGATACCCAAAAATCTTTGAATTTCTTCTTTATTTTTCGGAACTGCTATATTCTTTATAGTCGAAACTTTTTCTGGATCTGGTTTTATCCCTTCATCCGTCAACAATTATCCGTAAAATTTTATAGTTTTGAGACCAAACTTAGCCTTGTCTTTATTCAATTTCAAATTTACGAATTTCAGTCGTTCAAATAATTTTTCAAGATTTTTGTTATGATCTAATAGTGCTTCTTCCTGAGTTTTTCCTCTTCCTACTATCAGTATATCATCAGCTAATACAAAAACTCCATCCAATCCCTGAATAATTTCCAACATTTTCTTTTGAAATATTTCCATAGCCGTCGATATGCCAAATGAAAGTCTGAGATATCTGTATTTACCATATGGCGTCCAGAAAGCTGTTAACTTGCTACTTATTTCATCTAGTTTTAGTTGCCAAAATCCTTTTTTTGCATCAACCGTTGAAAATATTTTTGCATTGTTTAATTCTGTCATAATTTCATCTATCGTCGGTAGCTGTTATGTTTTGTATCTTTCAAAACTTCATTTAAATACCTAGGATCCAGACATATTCTCAATTTGTCTTTTTGTTTGGCGTCCAGAAAGCTGTTAACTTGCTACTTATTTCATCTAGTTTTAGTTGCCAAAATCCTTTTTTTGCATCAACCGTTGAAAATATTTTTGCATTGTTTAATTCTGTCATAATTTCATCTATCGTCGGTAGCTGTTGTTTTGTATCTTTCAAAACTTCATTTAAATACCTAGGATCCAGACATATTCTCAATTTGTCTTTTTTCTTTACTATTGTTATATTACTAACCCAATCTGTATATCCCTTTTCTTCTCTTATTATGCCCATTTCTTCCATTTCTTTCAATTCTTGTTTCAATTCTTCCTTCAATGCTACAGGTATTCTTCTTGGTGATTGTCTCACTGGTTTTGAATCTTTAACAATTTCCAAATTAACCTCCCCATCTAACTCTCCGAGTCCTGTGAAAAGATCTGCACATCTTTCAATCAATTCTTCAGTTATCTTTTGTTTAGTGCTTTGAATTGTGCTGCAATATTTAATAAGGCCTAAAGTCTCAAATGCCTCAGCTGATAGCAGTGGCCCATGTTCGAGATCAACTAATTGGAACTGTTGATGATAAATTATATTATTTCTTTCAATTTTCATCTTATATGTACCAATAGTCTTCACCGTACCACCTCCGAATGCCTTCAAAATTACATTTGTCGGTTCTAGGTCTATTTTTGCCTTATTTAATATTTGTGATAAGTTTTCCATACCTATCACATTACAACTAGCTCCTGTATCTAGTTGAAACTGCACATATTTATTCGAGTTATTTTCTAAGCAAACTGCTAAATTTTCGATAACTTTACTTTTTCCATTAATTTGCAGAACAAATTTAACTTCTTCTTCACTATTTGTTTCTTCTACTCTCGCAACTTCATTTATTTCTTTTTCTTTCAAACACGCTTTGTAAAAATGACCAATTTTGCCACACCCTTTACACTTTGCACTTCTTGCTGGACATTCTTTCAAGCTTCTATGCCATTTATATCCACAAAATTTACAGGTCTCATCTTTTTTATATTGATACTGTGTTCTTCTCTGGATCTTACATATCTCGTTCATTTTTGGTCCCATTTGTTTCAGCTGCGAATCTGCTACTTCAGAGGATTTGCATATTTCAATAGCTTCCTCTAATGTAATATTTTTTCTTAACCACATTTTTTGTTTAATATTCATATCCTTGACTGAACAAATTATTTTGTCCAGTAGCAGTTCATCTTCTTTATCTTCATATCGGCAGGTTTTCACCATGGATTTCAGTTTGATGAAATATGCATGATAAGATTCATTTTCCTCCTGCTGAACGGTATTGAATAAATACCTTTCGAATCTTACGTTCAATTCAGGTATCAAATGATTTCGCAATTTTCTCAATAAATTCTCAGCCGTTTGGTTTTCATCATTCACGTTCTCAATTTTGTATAATATTTTACATGCCTCTTCTCCAATACAAGATAATAACATAGCGATCTTCACTTTTTCGCTACCCTTCACCATATTAGTTATAATCAAATGATTGATCCACATTTTATCGAAATATTCCAAGTTTGACTTCTCATCACCTGTTAACTGAATTGGTGTTGGTAATGGCACATTGGTTCTTGTTTCGTAGGAGCTGGATTCACTAAATAATCTTTCTTTCAGTGCATTATTTTCTTCTGTTAGTCTTTTCACTGCTTCTTCTTTCTCCTTTGACAACTCGTCGATTCTGGAAGATGTCTCCTCCCGCAGTTGTTTAAACTGTTTCAATACTTCTTTGAATTCCTTCTGCATACTGTTTTACTTTCAATTCATACCTGACACCATGTTTTATGATACTTTTAGAATAAGATTTCAATGACAATAACTCAGATTTATTTCAGCTCAAGAATGACAGTTGCCTCTATCGATATATAGAGTGTCACTTATTCAAATATAATAAACTAACATTAAACAATAATCATTATATAACAAGTTGTTCGGCCATCTTATATATGAGAACACATGGCAGGCTTTGGTCGAGAACGTTCTCGAATGATCTTCCGTCTCCTTCTTATTGTTCTAGAAGCTTCTTAGAACAAAACCTCTCTCTCTAATTGTTCCATCGATTGTTTCCAGAACATTCCAGAATCTTCTGTGACGTTATTTGTCACTGCGGCATATATTGAGTGTTCGGAAATATGCTGGTGTATGTAGGAATCATTGAGAGGTTGGAGAGCAATCGGGGATGCGTGATACAGGATGATCGTTGTACTCCTACCTTCCTGCTGATGTTTCTAAAGCCCCTTCAAGGGGAATATCATTACAATATAAATTGTAGTGAAAGCTCGATCTATTTCACCAAAAGAGACTGTTCTTAGGCTGTAAACCAGGGTTGACTAAATTGACCAAATGAATTCTGATTTCAAGCTGAGCAGTAGTTCATCTATGAGCTGAATGAGCAGAGCCTTATGATTGAGAAATGGTGGAAACCTCGATGTGGGTATCTAGACTACTTTTACTCATGTCATGTGTGCTAAATATATTTTCAGAAATCCAACTCGGAGAAGAATTTATGGAGTTACTAATATCACACTATGTATAAAACTTCGTCTAGGACGAGAAGTGGACTGATAAAAATTAATACGTAAAATGTGCAGGAAAATAAAGAACAGAATATACTTCACCCCCATATGTTATACATATGATTTTTTCGTCTCTTTTCAATAAAGAGTCATTTTCGAATAATTCATTGATGAAAGTAACAAAGAAGTAGGTATACGCTATAAGTATACGCAGTATAACTGATAGGCACGTTATTTTCACTCTTGCATCCTACATATTTTCTATTTGTGGTAGAGTAATAATTAAATGAACTAATGTCTTTCGTCATATTGGATCGATCTGTCATCTTGAATTTTGCAATTTTGACAAAACAATCATTATTTATTTCTACCCCGAAAACCCCTCATTACAAAACTCGTCCACCATATTGGATCCGCCATCTTGAATATCCCAATTTTGACGAAATAATTATAATCTCCAACCTCGGAGATCCCCAGATACCAATTTTTTGAATATAATCGGATCATAATTACAAGTTTCGTTCGCCATATTGGATCCGCTATCTTGCATTTCCCAATTTTGACAAAGAATCATAAAGTTCGACCACGAAAACCCTCAGATACCAATCTTAAATAGAATCAGATCATAATTAGAAATTTTTTTTGCTATATATTGGATCCGTCATCTTGAATTTTCCAAGTTCGACGAAACAATCATCATCCCCAACCTCGGAAAACCCCACATACCTTCCAATTTTGAATAGAATCGGATCATATTCACAAAACTCGTTCGCCATAATATCATATCAAATTATGATCTTCCTCGACAAGTAAGTACCGTGTACATACCATTAAAATTTTGAATGATTTTCTGGAGCGCCCATGGATATATGTGACGTGACAGCAATGTCAGGGATACCAGTAGACAAAAGTAAAATCTCTAGATCATTAAAAAAGAATACAGCTATGATCGAATTCTATTCTCGAACCGTTCGGATACGAATAAAGATATATGCACTTACATATATGTGACGTATGTTAGAGTGAAATGAAAGATCGAATTCGTATACGAATAACCCTCGAGAATAGACCCCCTGTACGTCCGTACCCTCTGTTAAGATGACTTTAACGTCAATTCCCATCAAGGGACTAAGGGACCCTACCTTTGTACAGCTATATGAGTAGTGTAGATATATATGATCTAGACCGATTCCGAGAATCGATACTTTTTCAAAAGACCGCCATCCCTAGTGCTTTGACTGATTTACGCAAGAATCCGTTTTGCCCAAACATATGCATCGATTCCTATACTTAGACAATGATGAAAATAGACATCCACCTTTAGACCTAGACCAATCAGAAAAATTCAAGAAGCGACTACGGTTGAGAAACGTCTAGGGTGCAACCTGCAACAAACCAACAAATAATCCATGTGTCGACCAAATTCTTCCTTGAAATAGAATATTCTCATAATCGTGATTGGTTTTTCTAAATTCAGAACTACAAACTTCAAATGCGCACAGTTTGTAGTTCGCGGTCAGATACTTGGAAAGTTCTCTAAAAACCCTTCCACTTCATACGGATTTGCGAGCGAATATACGTTGATGGCTGAGCGCTCACATCAATGGTGCATTGAAATTTGTTGCCACTGTATCACTTCTGAGTCAATAATTTAATCGCCGGTAATGTGTATCACGGCCGGCTGGACACCTCGACGCCGGAAAAGTACATATGAACTGCCGGGAGAGATGTGCGCGCGTTACAAATGCTGGGCCGATGGTTGGTGTTATCTGGATTCTGGGCTATATACCTCATCATACAGGGTGTATCTTGATGACACAAAACAAATCAAGGGGTGATTCTTGGTGATATTCTAGCAAATGAAGTTCGTATCAATAACATGTGTCCTAACCTGCTACGTTTTTGAGATACAGGATATTATTGAAGTTGAAAGGATAATTTGATTTTATTTATAGCTACTCCGTACCCAGATAGCACAATGTCATTCATAGAACATTAATTGAATATTCTTCGAGAATATTTGAATATTCTCAGAATATTCTCACAATATGACACAAATATTCTAGGGATGTTTTATGAACATTCGGAATGGACTGTTCTGAATATTCTGAGAATGTTTCTAGTATATCGAAGGAGAATGAAGGAAATTAAAAAAAGCTCTTGCTTTGGTGGAGATGCGAATAACATAACCTACTATCTTGTGATTGAATTTTCACGAAGCTGAACGGAACGGAGAAGATGATGTTTCATTTTAAATCATCAAATAAATTCAGATATGAGTATGTATCCATCTGAGTTATGACGATAAAACATATAATCTGCGAGATTGATATTAATTAACGCAATATATAATTGAATTGATGATATAAATATTGATTTTGACCTGAAATGAACGTCCCCAGGACGTCCTCGTCGTACGTCTTCGAAACGTTAGACGTCGTACGTCCAAATTATTGTCTGGGACGTGCGTCCATGAATAGGATATAAAATGGACGCCCTCGGGACGTCCTGTGCTATCTGTGCGGGAACCTTAACCACATCGCCACGAAACTGATGAATGAATAGCAAGATGACAACACTGAATTAGCGGGATAATCAGCATTGAGGCTAGAAAATAATAGGTTATGTCAGGGTAAACATCATAAATATTGATATAAGAATAGGGACCTCAATATATCATTTATTCTGCTACGATTCTGAATATTCTCAGATCGATAATGAATAGTTTCGACACAAAAAAATCGTAAAATTGAAAAATCTTGATTTTGGACACCCTATATCTCTGCAATCGTTCCTGCTAGACCAAAGTGTGATACATTGATGAAATCAGCTCTTCAGAAAGAATCTAAAAATGCAATAAAATACAGGGTGTTCCATTTGAAATAACAAAGTTGCTAGTTGTTTCTGATAGAAGTGGCACCACTGTTTCGATGAAAATATTTTAGACGGATAAGGAATGTTCAAAGCATCCCAATTTTCAGAATGTTCTGTCTTTTCGTTCTCCAGATACTTCTAATAGGCCATCCACCGTGGATCACCCTGTAACTGTATTGACATGTGGAGAGTCGTGTTGTATATCGTGACCTGGCTCCCGTGTCCGTTAAAAACACTCAATCGACTTGAGCAAACTTGTGATTTGCGTTTTTGATTCTCAATATGGAAGTTTACGAGCAATAATTCTTAACATCAACAGATGAGCAGATATCGTAGCAATAAGGGGCCTAGTGACACGAAAAAAAAACCTATCACTCCTATCGGTTCAACCTAGGCCTATAAGCATTTCAGATAGGCCTCATATTCTTTCAAATCGAAATATTTAGCTTCACGTTGGTCGTGTGTCCCGGTCCCGTCATATCCGCCTTGCGGACTGCTAGATAGGATGTTATTTATATTGATGTCAAAAAAGTAAATAAAACAATAAACAACTTTGGATCATTTGTATATTGTCAAGAATTGTCAAGATGACATCTGATCTGTTCTGTTTTTGCTGGTGATTACCTCACAACTTATTTTATTAATTATTAATCAATTTGAATTGTTTGGGAAGGGGTGAGGGTAGAAGGGCACATACGTAAGTACCTACATGTATTCTTTTTCAATTGGTCTCAAATAATTATTCACCTGATTTTCAGATCAAATATCAGATTCTCAGTCAAAGTTAGTAGTCAAGATAGATACCCAAATTGAATACCTAGAACTTGGACGATGATCACAGACAACATTCCATAGAATTATGGAAGGAATCAGTTGTGGCCAGTTCACATTTTATAATGAGTTTGATTCTGCCAATTTAGGCAAAATAGAGTATGTTCCTCAAACAGAATCAGGTAAGCTTTCAGCCTTGTTTAGGCAAGCTCAACATATACATAATTATAAACTGGTGAAGCAATAACAATCCAATGACATATACATCTAACATAGCTGGGTGAAATCATAGAAGGGCTCTTGATGTGAAAACAGCAACATATCATATAGGAAAAAGAAATGTGTTCAGGAACAGGATAGGGGGAAACCTCGGGGGAAACCTAGAGGGAAACAATAAACAATGTCATTAAAAGTCATTCAAATTAAATCAGGAGTGAATATACCAGAAAATACCTTTTATTATTCAATTCAAATCAGAAGTGAAAATACCTATTATGAATTTTATGATTTATTCTACTGAAAAAAAAAGTGAACATTCTTCAAAAACCTATCAGAAAACCTTGTTGTAAATAGTCACATAGTTGTTTGATTTTGCAGCATCCATTTCACCCCTCATCCACTCTCTTTGCATTCATTTTGCTCCCATTCCATGTTGGTATTGACTACTGATATTCTCTACAGTTTTTCCATGAATTGTGTGAATCCTTCATCTCTCATGCTTCCATCTTTAGTACTATCACCTACAATTTATGGGATCAAAGATGACTGGAGAGGTGAGATTGCTATACTGGCCATATAGTCCAACAAAACATGATATATAAAACATAAATAACAGGATTATTTTTATGTCAGGTGGGTCTCTTTCGCGTTCAGCCAACAAACAGCATCTGCTCCTTTCTCTTTTCTTGTGTAGGGCAGATAAGGAAAACATTACTTCAAACCTTATGAATTTTGTTACATCATAAGTATATCTTATTATGGGTGAAAGGAATAGAATTTCAAATTTTACTTCCACAAAAGAATATACTAAGTTGTTATAATCCAGGTAATAAGAATCCTAATTCTCAAATAATTCATTAACTCTTTCCATCAAATTTCAAAAACATTTAAGATCTCCCATCACTCAAGTTTGACAATTCTGTGATTTTTTCACTAGTAGCAACAATAGTTATTAATTATACAAGGGAAAAAAGTAGTAGATTTTAGCTCCAGGTTGTGTTGTCTCCCAATGCATAGCTGAGGGAGACAAAAAACCATAAGGAATCTTTATGCTTGGATAACTAATAGACAAAATAAAATAATAAAATATAATGGCACTATCACCAAATATTAATAAAGCTTGAATGAAGCTTAGTTATTGTGTTAATTGTTATAATGTTATGTATTGAATTTATTCAATTTTGTGTAAATTTGAATAATCATTTGAATTCTAATGTAATAAAGTTTGAAACAGCACAAAAGTTCCAAATGTGTAAGTGTACTACTTTCTAATGAAATCTGGAACATCACAGGCAGTTTTACACCATAAAAACCTTGTATGACTTGTTTATGCACACAACTGTACATGGCACATTTTTATATAGAAAATTCAATATGAAATATGATTTTTATAGAGAGTTTTTCATATTTAGTGAACAATCATACCAGATGACGGTCATTTAATCTATAGTCAATCCAAATACGAGATGTCAAATGTCAACAGATTGCTTTTGAATGACATTACACACAAAATGATATTTTTCCTTCTTTTCACTAAATATGATTAGATGAATTGCCCCAAAATGTCGTATCTGTCTTCAGATACGACTTTGCTATTAAAATAATCATTTCTTATGTTGAAAACGGGAGCAGATTCGGTCCCGAAACGTCCCAAGATAATTGAAAATTTAATATTTTTTCTATATACATTTATTACTCTTCTCCAAACTCTTTTTAATATGAATTGTCACTGACAAGCTAGTGAATTTTTCTTTTAGGCTCTCTGATTGGGAAATTCTTTAAACAGTAACATTTTGGGGCAAATCATCTTGTGCTGAAACCTCTCATCACAATAATCGTACCGTTGTTCCTAAAGTTCAAAAGTTCATTTAAGATATATACAAAGTATTTTGTTTCCTTGTTTCATTTGCCTACTGTTTACGTTTTCCTCCAGTAATAGCTACTTCGTTACTATTTGTGTGCATATATCAATCAGTGTAATTTCAGTAGTTTGGTTATTTGACGTACGCTTGGCAACCTGCAAGTCGTCCAGTTCCAGTATTGCTGGTTGCATATGCGTAGGTTAGTTCATCATTTATTATTTTCCTACTGAAGATTCTGCAACCAACAACACTTCGGTTTCCATTCGAATCGGTGATCTCTGCCGCGTTTTTTTGTAGCACCATCTCTGCAAGCTTATCTTTTGAATCTCGTTTTTTGTGGTTCCTTGAAATTTTGGTGGCTATGAAGGATTTCTTTTCTCGCTTGACTATCACAGGAAACAGACAAAGTGTCGCCATTAATGAGCCTTTAATTATAAAATACAATATTCACATTTATTTGTTAAATAAATGGTTATTGGTGTTTGGTCATTCTTGTAGGTGAGTAATAAGATGTATAAATGTAAAATCAAACTATAATTCTGAAAGGAAAATTAATCTATGAATTATAACTTTACACGTGGGTATGTGAAATGATGAAATGAAAATTCTTGTAGATACTTCACAAAATCTTCAAAAATTAATCCATCAGCTATCCCCGACCCCAGTTTCTCTGCATCTTGGCGCCCAACGTGGGGCTGTAATTTTTTTTGAAGATTTTTCTGGTCGAGAAAAATGGAAAACCAAATTCCAAACTATAATTTGAGATCTGGTAGGAGACTAGATTATGATAGCCTCCATAATGGAAGGGAACAACCAAATAGAGGTGATGTAGATTCTACAGAAGACCAAGGTAGGAGTTGTCCAAATATTTCTGAGGGCCATAGTGTGGGAAAAAGCCAAGGTGCTATTCCTAAAAATGTGGAAAATTTGAGGTCACAAACAAATACATTTTCCACACCACATGTACCAGTACCTAATGTAGAAAATACTAGATTTTCGGCACCTCCAAGACAAAGGGGGCACTTTAATCGAATACCAAGAACTTCTGGGCAAAATTTTCCATCAAGTGTTCCACCTCGAAGGGTAGTAACAGATCCTTTCTCCTGGGAACATACTGAACATAGTAATCCTCCAGTAAATGTACAGGGGGCACAAAATTCCCAACATTTCACAAGTATGGGGCCAATGGGGGCAAGTAACTACAATTTTCCACCCCCTGGATTGCCACCAAGAAGTTCTCAAGTGCCACCGTTTCCTTTTCAAACTGAAAATCAAATGAATAGTTTCATTTCACATAAATAGTAAATAACACAGTGCAATGTTTACAAGATCAGAACATGATAAATAGCAATGTAAATACAAATAATTCCGTACCAAAATCAAATGTACAGGGTGTACCAAACGCCAATATTGCCACCAGCTTTTCCAGGTTAAATCTGGAAAATGAGATACATTTTTCATTAGGTGATGTATCGAAATTATTACCTGAATTTGATGGTGAAAATTCATTCCAACCAATAGATTATTTACAATTTTTGGAAAGCAGTATTGATATTTCAAGAGTGCCTTTCAACAACATAAAAATCTTATTGAATAAATCTTTTAAATGTTCTGCCAAACTCTGGTGGGAAGCATTTGCACCATCGTTTGTAGACTTTCAAACATTCAGAAGAGAATTCATTCAGCATTTTTGGAATGCTAAAAAACAAAGAAAAATTAAAGAAAAGTTGGAAAGTGATGAATATAGTAGTGGACTGTTTGTTGATCATTTTAACTTTTGGGTATCTAGGTCGAAACATCTGCAACCAGCATACTCACCAACTGAACTGATAGATTTGATAGCACCACATTTTCCTCCAAGTGTTTCGTGTGTCCTTTTGGGGTGTACAACTTTTTCACAAGCTGTTTCCAGACTTAGACATGCAGATGAATATTTTAAAAATGAGTCAGTAAAAACTAAAAATCGATTCTCAAATGAAAATAAAAATGAATATGTACAGCAAACTAAAAATGAATACTCTGAACAAACTAAAAATGATTATTCTCAACAAAATAAAAATGATTACTCTAGACAAAATAAAAGTAGATTCTCGAACAAAACAAATAACTCAAATAAAAATTCATCTACATTCTATACAGCAGCCCCTAAAAAATATTCTGATCAAACTAAAAATATCTCAAGCTTGGAGTGTGAAGATGACAAGGAAGATGGTTCAGGAAACGAATCATCTCCCCACATGTAATTGGGTATGTGGGGGGCAAAAAGAATCAAAATGAAACATCAGTTAAAAACAATCCTTTGGAAGATCTTCTTCAGGAAGAATGTGATTTTGAACATATTCCTGAGGAAAATCGTTGTCCAACAATTTTAGTAAAACTTTATGGTTATAAATTTGCTGCTTTAGTAGATACTGGTAGTAAAGTATGTGCTATTTCTATGGAAGTATGGAACCAAATCAGCAATTTTTCGGAAATTATTCCTCATTTTCCGGTTACAGGAATAAAAGTAGTTGGTGCTTTTAAAGCGACATTTCAGAGGGTAAATTTACAGGCTTCATTAACATTTCAAGTAAATGATGGTGAAGAATTTCAATTTGAATTTTTAGTAATTAATAAATTAACACATCCAATAATTATTGGCTGTGATTTTCTCCGAGTTTTTCAAGTGGATGTGCAGTTATCAAAACAGTGTTTAATTTTGAAGTGTGGTGATAAAGTTTTGAAAATTCCTGAGGTACAAATTGATCATAATTTTTCAGAGCCACAAAGTTTGTGTGTGTGTACAATTGTGAATGAGAGTGGAATAAAAAATAGTACAGTCAATAATGGAAGAAGTGAGTTGAAAAATTTTCATGGTGTGCTGAATAAGTGTAACCTGTCAAAAAGTGATGAAATCAACTTTCTCAAGATATTGGAGAAATATAGTGAGGTTTTTTCTGATATACCTGGTCGTACGAAAGAATATGTACATAGAATCCAACTGAAAGATAAAACAGAATTCTTTGTGAAACCTTATCCTATTCCCATAGCACACAGGGAGGCTGTGCAGAAAACGATAGAACAAATGCTTGAGTGGAAGGTTATTGAGCGTGCACCCTCAA